GCGCGTACAGGTGAGGGCAGGTGGTGGACCTCACCACCTGACCTCACCCCCTGTACTAGCCGGTAGGATTTAGGTAAGCAAAATAAATAAAAGGGAGTGGCCGGAACACTTACAAATGTGGGCCGGTAGGATTTAGGCAAAGAAAAAAAAATCTTTAATTATTATTTATTTGTATTTATATTTCCAATGGCCAGTCCGCCACTGGTGACCACCATAACACTGTGAACTTCCTCATGAAATTCCACGTTGTCACTAGGCTTGTTTGAGACGAGCTGCGGCTCGCCTCAAAAGTAGACGAGAATAGCAGATTGCAGCCGGGGGAGGTCTCAAAAAGCTCGCCTGAAGTCAGACAGCTCGGAGTCGGCTTCTTCATCTTCTTCTTCTCTCGGTTTTTTGGCGGATTGCAAACAACTTTAAGGTGCATACTGCCGCCTCCGGAGTCGGCTTGACTCGGTTTGCATTTATAAAGAATACACAAATGTGTTTAATCGTTAATGTCAGATATGTACTAAGTACATACATTTGTTCCTGCTCAAGATTAGATTCAACTTTATTGTTATTGCACATATTACAGGTACTGAGAGAACGAAATGCAGTTTAGCTTCTAACCAGGAGTGCACAAAGCAGTAAAGTGAAAAGTAATGTACACAATCTACAGAATGAAATATAGAATTAATTGAATGATGAATAAACAGTGAGGGGTATGAATACACTAGATATACACAGCATCCTTTGAGCAGTATGAACATTGTATGAATATGATAAGATATATAAAGTATGAAAACGGTAAGCAGTGCAAGTATAGTATAAAATATATAGATACTAATTTCATGATAATAAACAATGTGGAACAATTATGGAAGTGGCGACGTAAAACTGACACAAAACAACAACAAACTTTTGCCGAGCCAATTGGAGAGTTTCATCAGCAGCACGGGGTAAAAACCACCAATGAGCACTCAGCTCATCAAGATACCAGCGAGTCGTTTAGGTCGTTTTCCATCAAGCATTTCGTCTGCAAGCATTTCGTCTGCAAGCAGTTCTTATTATACATCCATGGTGGAGAGGAACTGCGCCGCCTCGCCGCGCCTCGCCGCGCCTCGCCGCGCCTCGCCGCGCCTCGCTCTCAAGGCTGCGGGCGTCTTTGTCCCGCGAGATTTCAACGTCTCATGTAGGCGAGCCTCCAGAGCAAGTCGGACAAAATGACTGCATGCAACGCACTAGCAAGACGTTGATCGCAATTGCGCAGGTCTGCGTCGGTCTCGCTTGTCTCAAACAAGCCTACAGTCTTCTCCTCAATCGACCTTTCACCTAAAGAGCATGATGCCTGCTATTTCTGTAAAACCACACCGCACGATATGGGGTGTGCGTGGCTCTGCACATTTGAACAATGGGAATAGCGGGGGCGCGCTCTACGGGAACTCGCCCTGCAGCTGCAAAGTGCACGCTGGCTGGGAAGAGTAGGGGGACCAGGGACAGTTGTAACGCCTTCAATATCTCCAATCACAAACCAGCTAGAGTGATGAAACTCACTCTGCACATGCTCAGCAAGATGGAAAAATTGCTGTGAAAAAAAGGAGCCAAGTTTAAATCTGTCTTGAGGTCACATGTATTCAATCCAAACGTATTATTAGAATCACTGTTTTGTAAGCTAAACATATAACTAGCTAAATATGGGTCAAGCTAGCAATCAGGCAGGTTCACAGGGGGTGAAAACATGACTGGTGGTCCTGGGACGGTTGTAACACGGACCACCTGGGACGGTTGTAACATGGCACATTTACAACGATGATCAATATTATTGATTGGTGTGCATTGTCCCTGTAAAAATAAACAGAATAAAATACAGTACGTAAAGTGTGTGCGTGTGTTTACAGTATGCCAAATATCAGAAAGAGGAAGACAGACGGGAGTGCCACTTCCTCTGCTGCAGAGGGCCTCAAATGAAGTTCAGGAGGGCAAATCAGTCAAGGCATGATTATGCCATGTCACCCTGTACCGGTTCCATAAAAAGAGGCTAAGGTTGGAGAGTCAGGGATCCAAATCACCCCAAAGAGTAGGCTACTGGACACCCAAGAAGGTGTTCTCAACAGAGCAAGAGATGCTTTTGAGAGACTACCTGATGGAGGCAGCTGATTTATACTATGTTCTCAGCTCAAAGGAGGTAGGTATATATAATTATGGTAGAATAGGCTAACTATACAGATGGAAGTGACTTTTACACCTGCCACAACTGTGAATCAGATTAATTCCATCTGGTGTTCTGTTCATTGTTTGTTGGAGGATGTGTGAAACCTGGTGAAACCCCATTTAAAATCTTGTTGCCTTAGAATTTGACAGCTTTCCCTCTTTTTTGTCATGTAGTGTGAAAAAAGGTAACCGTTATTAATATGTTACAACCGTCCCCGTCCCTTTTTTAAAAAAAAAAATTAAAAAATTTTTTTTTTCCAACCTGTACTTATTTCATAGAAACATCTTAAATACATTGTTTCAGTAGTTGACACATTGAGAATGTATAATATAGCAAAAATGGCTATCCTAGTGTAAATGTTTTTTTACTTATTGGGGAAAACACAAAAAGTGTTACAACTATCCCTGGTCTCCCCTAGCCTACGTCCGGACTCGAGACAAAACTTGCAAGAGTTCAAGACCAATTCCGAACGTCAGTCGGTAGTCGGAGTTTGAGTCCGAGTCCGTCAGTGCGCGAGTCGAAGTCCGAGTCCTAGTGCACGAGAATTTGCCAGTCCATCACTGAGCGAGTCCGGGTCGGGTCACGAGGCGCTATATCTATTTAATATTATTTTAGTATTATTACAATACATAACAATGTCATTATTATAATTCAAACAAAATACTTTCTTAAACCTAACCAAGTAATTGGTATGATTTCATCACTCCCAATCCAATGTTTTAAACTACCAGCGTGCATCTCTAGTTGGTAAGGAAAATATGCAAAAGACGATAATGTGAAAGCATGAAATGCATAGACATGGCACTAGAAAGTGGCATGCTATTTATTGGCCTTCCTATGAAATGATGTTGGGCTTGGAGTGACCTGATCTGCCAGCCACTGAGCGTTGTGACTGGAGCAGTGAGGGATGAGAGCCTTGCTCAAGGGCACCTCAGTCATGATCAGGATGTAGCAAGTTCTGCTTTTCAATGTGATAATGATTTTACTGTTGTTGGTGCAACCTCATTTTGTCTGCCGATAAAACCTACAAGATAAAACCACAGCAATTCATCCTTAAATCTTTACGATTTGACTGACCCCTGATGCCATGCCGAAGGTCTCTCCAACAGTCATCCTCATTCTAGCTTCTCTACTCGTCAGCTAAATAATAGCACCTTATTTGCATAAGCCTAGAAACTATTCAGATTCCTTATTTGTGTACAAATAGTTTACTTGGCTACTAAAAGCTTCTGATCTCCCGTCCTCCCTTTTCCCTTCATTCCACACAAAATAGTTTGTACTAAAAAGCTCATCAACTTTTCCAGAACTCTTTCCAGCAGACGTGTTTACATGTGATCTATTCCTGTAGGTGATTTTTTCCCCCCCTGTGAAATATGTCTGCATGTACAGCGAAGAGTGGAAATGTGTATATACCGGTGTGGCTATACCTAGTTTAGAGTGTTTTTAGAAAACTCCATCAGAGGGCATTACAAAGGATAAGGCTAACATGTAAATAGTATACACATGAAGGAAGGATACATTTAAATGTAAAATAACTGTATTTCCTACATAATAACTGTGATGCTAATGCAATACCAATGACTGTCTTTCAGGACAAACTGTGAGAAACAAAGTAATGACATCGGCAAGGCTGAATGCTGTGGGAATCAAGTTTGTACAGGGGCAGGGCTGTGTTGTGGAGGGCAGGCTTTCAACCCTGAAGAAGGCACGTGTTGTGAAGTAGACAATGGACATAACAAAACAGGTAATTCTCACCCATTTTTGTTAGACTAGCAAGAACTTCCAATGTTAGATTTATGATTTTAACAAGAAAATAGAGACTATACTTTAGTATGAGAAAAAGGAATATAATAATCTTTAGAGATACCTTAAAGCTTCAAATGGTACTCTTCAACCTTGTTGCTCTTTTTCAGATAGCATCAAATGTTATTGCTGACTCTAATGGAAAAATGCGCAATGAGCCAACATAACGATTGCGTCATAACCACTGCCACTGTTAATACAAAACAACAGTGTAAAAATGCTTATACTGGGAGAACTGACTAACAGACCCTTTGTCTAGACCTGCACGCTGAATGTTGTGGTTTGATGATTTTATTATTGAAACTAAAATGTTAAAGGTCAGGCAGATGAACACTTGAGAAAAAAACACAATTCACATAAATTAATAATGATGACAAAGGTCTTAAAAGTACATGTTACCTTTTATTTCTTGTTTGAATAGGTTTATCTCTTCCATTATAAAATCGGCATACTTACCACAATATATATTCTGAATGGCTAGTTACACATAGGTAAAAGTAGTCTAAAACAACAGTCCAGCACAATATTCTACCCTCATGAAGTGAAAAATTCTGATTTTTTTAACACTGAAAGAGGGTTTAATTGAACTGTATTTCTAATACTTTCTTCAATAAGCTTTGAAACTGGTAACTGCATGTGCATTCCTACTTTGATCACTATCACAGTAGTGACAGCATCACTATTTCATCGCTACTCATTATAGCATTACTGTGCCTTCTGACTCATCTAAAGACCCTCTAAAAATAGCCTTTATTTATAGGGTTATCTGTTTACCAGCACTCTATACCCTGATTTGAATCTGTTGTCCTCTCTTTGAACCTGACCTGTTTTTTTTAACTTAAACACTCTCCTGCATTGGCAAGTGAAAACCAGCATTAACAGAATTTAGTTTTTTTTGCTTTGAAGTTCTCACATTGAAAGAAATATAACACTTTTTGGCTGTTGCTGTATCTTGACTTGTTCGCATGTTGACATACACCCTTTTTGTTTTTACAGCTGTTACAAAGGGTCTTAGTCAAAAGGTGTCATCTTGCTGTGGACTGAAGGCCTACGACGAACTCAATTATATATGCTGTGAGTCTAACATTGCAGCCAAGCCTGGTCCAAACGCCAAATGTTGTGGTAAAGGTAAGTAGAGCTGGTTGTAAATCATCTAATAAAAACAGGGTATACACTTACATAATACAATGTATTTAGGATTTGTTATTGTATACCATTCCCCCTGAAAAACTCTTGCTTCCTCTGATTGGCTGAAAGGTGTCGATTCCTTTATAGTAACCAAACAGAATAATCAGATACCTGTGATGCAGATGTTTGTCTACAGAGTATTAAACTCTGCCTCGGGACAGCCAGGCTGAACTAAACAGCTTAGAAGTTCACCAAAAAACATACATATGAATCTGATAAATTCTGATACAATGTCTGAAGTAAAGTACGAAAACGTCATGATTCTCCTACAGCTGCCACTGGTTCACCTCAGTCTTACGCATTTCAAATGAAAGGCATGTTATTTTCTGTTTTTCTGTACTTTATCCAAACCCTTGTGGCTTGCAGGATTCAAACTTGTGGCTCAGATGAAAGGGAGTTGAAAATATCATCCTGATCTTTTCCACAGTGGCATTTGATGTGGACAAGCAGTTGTGTTGTGGTCCGAAAGGATCTAAGAAGGCAGTGCCGAAAACCTCCACTGAACACCAGTGCTGTGGAGATAAGCCGTTCAACCTTAGGAATCAGTGCTGCTGTACTGTTCCTCCCGAGAGTCTTAAGATTGAATCCATCAATTCCTCTTGCTGTCCGTCAGGTGCGTTTGAACGTCGACCCTTACTGTGTAACGCTGTTCAAGGTAAAGCCTAGAGCTTTGACTTTTCTTACTTTCAGGTCCATGTTTATTATTTCTGATATGATCAGTCAAAGTCAACTTTAATGTCAAATGTTCTGTGTGTTTGTACAGACAGAGAGATCGAAATAACGTTTCCAACAATCCCGAATACAAAATACAATAATACAAATATACAAATCTGTATACAAATATGTGTAAAATATTTATATCCTCTATATATACAATCAACAGACACATTTACACACATTAAGATAAAACACAAAAATCAATATTTACAAAATAACAAAATAACAGTCACTTCAATATCTTAGGGAATGTACATAGTGCAAGATTGCCCATAGCAGTGTAAAAAAGTGTCTGGTGCTGGAATTGAGTGTCTGAGTGTCTGAGTGTGTGGGGAGTTATAGTCCAGTGGGGGCAGGGGGGAGGGAGGGGAGAGAGTTCAGCCTCCTGACAGCCTGGTGTAAAAAACTGTTCTTTAGTCGAGTAGCGCTCGACCTCAGGCTGCGGAACCTCCTCCCTGAAGGATGGAGGGTGAAGAGGCAGTTGGAGGGATGGGTGGGGTCACCCACAATTCTGAGTGCTTTGCGGGTGTTGTAAATGTCCCGGAGTGATGGCACCGATTATCCTCTCAGCAGTGTTCACGACGCACTGCAAGGTCTTGCGGTTCGATGCTGTAAATATATACACAAATATGCAAGCAGAGACAAGTCAGTAAACTTGTTCGGCTGCAATGTTTTATGCTGATGCTTTCTTTTTTCCTACTTGATAAAAAAATGACGCTAAGAATAGACGCAATACTGGGTACGGATGCCTTTGTCGTAATTGGTTTATTTCTATAATTGCCTTCAGTGTCCAAGGCTAGTTTATTTTATGTAATTTCATAGATTTTTTCATTTGTTGGTTTGTAGAATTTCATATTGTTCATCATGATTGAGAATTTAATATTTTCACCACATTTCTCCCATGAACGTCACATTTCATTTGAGACACAAAAATAGCTCCGCCTTTACACATCTCCCATTTTGAATCTGCAAAATCTGATTGTGTCAGGAACTTCATGCTAAAAATGTGTTTGGTGTCTGGATGTTGACCTGAATATGTTTTAACAGCTCTCTGTGGAGAGAAGCCCTACAACATATCCAGTGAACTATGCTGTGATTCAACGGTTGTAAATACAACTGTGCCAGATGCCAGTTGCTGCGGTAAAGGTGAGTAGAGCTGACACAGTATTGGTGTGCAAAATAAAATGATTTGTGTCAGATTTGTTGTTACAAAAGTGATAACGTTTTAAACAGCATCTTTCTCTTTTCTGCAGTGGCATTTGATAAACACACGCACTTGTGTTGTGGTCCGCATAATAACAAAACGTTCCTGCAGAAAGACTCCAGTGGCCACGTGTGCTGTGGACATAAGCAGTACAACCCTAAGACTGAGTGCTGCCATGAGATGAATGGAAGCCTAGAGCCAATGCAGATAAATTCCAGCTCCTGTAAGAAGGATTTATGTACGTCTGAGCATCGTCATGTGGCAGTACTGATTCCCTAGAATTCATCTGATATAGAGAGCCCAAGAACCATAACAATTTAATTATTAACTTGGAGAAAAACATTTTTACAAGACACTTAAAGCAGCAACAAAAAATGCCTCTTCAACAATAAGTAGATTCCTCAACGATAATAGGGATCTGTTTATAAGTGGGCTTCTGATTCAAATATTAACCAATATATAAAATGACTAAATAAAACCTGTAATCATAAGGTTATCAATAGGCAGGTTTAAGCCCATTAGTATGTCTACATTCTGCCTTAATGTTTAAAGTTGTTTTACAATCCAAGCTGAAAGTTGTCAAAGTGCTTTTAAACGAGTTGATCTTTTGATCGCTCTTCTTTAATTTTTTTATTTCAGTGTAGGTTTAAATGGCTAAGAGGTGAACCACCGCCATAGGACTGAAAACCCAGAGTTAACCCTGAGGTTAATTTGCTAACCCCAAATTGTGCTTTGTTGTATGGGCCTCATGAGGCATGAAGTGATTGCCTGAACATGCAGGATGACACACTGACAGTTGCTCAATGATCATGTTTAAATGACAAGCGCCCACACTTTTTATTCATGACATAATTATTATTTCCTCACACTCCATACTTTGTGTTTTTTCTCTACAGGCGTGCAGAATCAGGTAAGAAACAAATTGATATCTTTAATTTATGTGTTTGACCTCTCTGTCGTTTGAAAAAAAGCAAAATAAAAATTACCTGTAGACCACTTCATGTATAATAAAGTGGATGGATAAAATAACAGAAGCAACTGACAATAGACCCACTCTGCTGCAGTAGTTCTGTAATTAAAATGTAGATTGTGTGTCGATTCAGATTGATCACAATGTTTTAAAGCATTAGGTGTATTACCTTGAAGAACAGGGAGAGATGTAAGGAAGTGGGTATAGAGTGGTCCAGGGATGACGTATTCACCCGGAAGTAAGCTGCGCATGGGTTTCCTTGACAAAAAAACAATGGGATTTCTCCATAGGATTTTGGAAAATAGCTCGAAATAAGGTAGATGGAAAATGAACCTGTCTGATAAATGCACGTTTTGTTCAGCCGGATAATATCCACATGTCTACCCTACTTTTATAATTTTTGAATCATAAATCTAATCGCCAGAAGTAAAATGATAACGTTATGCTATAAACGAACTACAGCCGAGTACAGCAGGGTTGCATGACTTCAACGTCATGCCAACTTAAGATCGATATTCAAAGATACAGATTCAACATTGTAGAAGTTGAAGCTTTTGTTTGAACAGTTTGCAAGAGCGCAGGTACTTGCTTTCAAGCAGAACAGAGGCAGACAAATTTAGCGGGAGTGTTTACATGTTCGGCGTAATGACGTACAACGTCCTCGACAACTTCTGTAGTCCTATTCAGCCACTTGTTAACAACCATCGTTTTTTAGACACGTAAACTCTTCAAAAATCACCAGTGGGTTCACTGCTGGTGTATTTAATGTCGAAGAACAAAACGTGATCCGTCTCTTCATTTTGTGTCAAACACAGACCTTATTTCCAGCTATTTTCCAAAATCCTATGGAGAAATCCCATTGACTCTGAGACGAGGGAACCGGATGTGGTAAAATGCTAACTCAGTTCCGGGTTTTAGGACTCGTCACTGCACCACTCTATAGCTTAAAGATATTCACATTTTTGTGTTTTGTTTTCCAGAAACCCTCTTCTCTGCTCATTCGGTAAGTAAACGAACGTTTTTGACTATCTTACTGAGAACAACAAAATGCTATTATTGCCAAAAACTGCCAAACAATATTGTGTTGAAAATATTGACTCAGTTTGGTTTGCAATACTTGGTTAATGTGCCTTTGTGTTTATTTTTCCTTATCTCTGCACGTCCACAGCAAAGCGACAACATTTTGTATCTGTGGGTCAAAGCGTTCCAGCTCCTGTGACAAAAACCAGCCAAAGTCTCAATGTTGCTGCACCTCAGGTATGTGAGTGGGTGTGTAGTTTTGTGTGGGTTGGAATTGAATCAGTTACTTTTATCTGATGTTAAGTCATCATATTGATGCAGGTGTGTTGACACAATCCCCTAATACGATTCATGAGCCGATATTTGCTCACCTCAGTTGCACACAAAACGCCTAAAGGCAAACTGTGAAGGGTTGGACTAATATGCTACTATGCCAGAAGACCAACTGTAGGTTTAATGATCTTATGATGTCTATTTAACCTGGGCATGCACACGTTATGACATGTGGGAACCATCAACAATGTTACAAGCATGAATAGCTGCTTTTATATCATATCTCGTAAAGGCTATGCAGCAAAATATATAAGGCTCCTTTTGCAAAAGGTGTGAGACTTGATTTATCCCAAACAACACATGCTGTCAGATCTAACAACCTTACTAAGTTTACATTGCATGTTCCTTATACAAACTGTTACATATGACATTTACAAAACTCATTACTTCATACGAGGGCTAATCTGTCACAGGAGTGGTCAAGATTTGTTTATGTAGTAATTTGTTGGGGTCATGGGTAAGTAAGTGTAAACAGATTTAAGACTACAGAAGGAATAGTTGAAACATCTGAAACATAATGTGAAAACAGCAATAAAACCTTGGTTTTATATCTTTTAATTTTGGAAGAATAAATGTAGACTTTTTCTTTTTTTAGATGTTTAAATATGTTCAGTCTTAAGTCATAAAACTGCCTTTTTATAGCATTTCATATTTGCTAGAATTACCTCAAGGATAATGTTAAGTTCATAAAACCACACATGTTATATCACCCTTTGCCCAGATTAGAGAACAGTCTCCTTGTGTGTCTGTCAAAAAGGGAACTTTCTTGAGAAATATTTGCTGGTAAACTCACTTTTCAAATATTGATCCAACCTCTGAGTTACAATCTTCCCAACGTCATTCATCCCAACACCGCCTAATAACCATACTTTTTGTTCTCCTCCTAACCCCACCATCCCTGTCTGTTCTGTAGAACGTTATGAGGGTGTCCTCACTGTGTATGACCCAAGTGCGCACATCCGCTGCGATGGCTGTGTAACTGGAAGGAAACCTTGGAAAGATCAAGTAATATACTAAACATGTGATAACTGTTTCAACTCAGCTGGGTGGAGTATTTTTTCTGTAAAGGTCAAATATTTGTCTCTGTGTTTGTCTTTGGAAAAAGAAACAACACCCTTACCGTGAGATTTGAGGGCTTTTTGGTTAACATCACCTCATTCTTAAAAAAAAGAAATTGTTAAACTCCCAAGTACTTTAAGTGGCTGCCTTATGGGTCTTCTGACAACGACCTGGATCACATTTCTTTATATTTTGCAAATAAATAATGTAGTAGTTTTAGAACTGATAGAAATACATCTCAGATTATACTGTAAAAAACAAAACTGCTGTCGTGGTGCAGCTTAGTTCAGCGGGCTCAGAGCTCCACCCAGCTTCTTATATATAGCGAGTGACTGTGTTTTTTGATCTAATGGACAGTAGACGCTGCTTACATTGGTGTCGTTTAAGTTGACGGCACAAGCAGAAGGACGATTTTCATTTTTATTTTGGGTCTGTATTTTTTTCAGAATTCCATTTGCACAGTTTTACTTTATTTTTTGTGATTCTTAAAGTGCTTCGGACAGACGTCTTATTGCTTGGCACAAAGCGGAGTCCTCTGTCGTAAAGGCACCTTGTACAAGTACAGAGATGATGGGGAGGTAGCTGGAGGGACTCATCCCTCACCTGAACAACACTACTGCGGGAGAGAACTCTATCTTCCTGAGGAGGACATCTGCTGCCAAGGACAAAGGTGATTATTTGTGCATGTGTTTATATTTATCATTGAAAACCATTTTTAATTCAATGAGACGGTAAACATTTCTTTGGGGTCACTTCAGTGTCTGGTATATGTTTTGGCCATAGACTTGAAGGGTTTTGGCTCACTTTTGTGTGCTGCAATGTCTGGTATGTGTTTTGTGGGTGTTCAAAGATGAACTGACAGATCTGGAATGGTGTTATTTCTCTTGTGAGTTAGGGTGCAGACAAACTCAGACAGGAGTGGCAAGGAAAAATTCTGTGTTGTTGTTTGCATACTTTCTCCCAGACAGGAAGGCATTCCAACAGCCATGCACTGATCATGTGCCTCCTTTTTTGATTGCCTCTGGAAATTGTTGTGCACCATTGAGCCAAGGAATGACTGCCTGTCTGGGTTTGCAACTGCATTTATGAACATCTGCTGTGTGTTTGGGAAGGTTTGGCAATACCTCTGCATGTCCCTGTTCTGTCTACCAGCGGTTTACTAAAACTTGATAGGGCCCTGACATTTAAGAGTTTACGAGTTACAGTATGTGCAAGTCTGTCTTTTGGTTGAATCTTAACTTATTCAGTAGTTAAAAATAATCAAATGACAAATCCAGAGAGAAGTCTGACTCAGCAGCTCTTTTAGTTTAGTAAGCTTTGGGTGTTTTGGTTTATTTATTAGTTCAATTTGTTGAATATAAATTACTCATCAATCCCTATCCTAGCTGACCAGCTTGAAAAGGATTAGTCTTTTTAAGTGATCTACTGTATTAGTTGGTGACAATTCTAGGGAAGCTAAAGACCCAGATATTTTTTTAAGGAGGTGGGGTAGACCACACCAGAGATATTAGGAGACTGCAGGTTGGATTTACCCAGACGTCTCTGCTGGAGATGCAAGTCGGTTTACTGATTAACATTAAACAGCCTCTTATGCATGTCTGATTAAAAACATAAGACTATACGCTCCAGGCTTCAAGTCCTTTGTTCTTTATCTCAATCACCTGATTTGATATTACAAAGCTATGTTTCCCCAGGCATGCCAAAAATGGAAACTCTCACTGCTGTGGGGGAGAAGCCTACAACATCTCAGACCCAAAGAAGAAGTGCTGTGCGGGAAGACTTTACAACCTGACTGGACAAAGTGGAGAGAAATATTATAACTGCTGTGGATCCCTTCTGCAAACCGTAGAGGTAGGATTTTGTAATAATAATGATACCCAAAACCATTTGGATTTCAACTTCACAACTGTTAAGTGTTGTGAGTGAATCTTGAATATTATGTGTGATGTATCTGCGGTGACAAAATATTTCTATGATGAGAAACAGCCAAACCTCACAAGGCCAACAAACTCACCATGAGGACAGTACATGTGAGATTTACTTCACCTAAAACAATGCCATGTTTAAGATTCAAATTGTTCTTGATTATCTTTTGTCTTCAAATCTCAAAGAAAGTATGTCTTATTTTCTCATGAATATGACCATTCATATTATACATAATGTCTACTTCAAATTTAGAGTGTTTGCTGCTCCAGCGAGTTCAATGAGGTGCTCTACTCTAAAAAGAGTGGGTTCGGATGTTGTGATCACCAGTACTTCAACGCCTCACTGTGGTCATGCTGCGCAGGCAGGCTGAGTCCAGCAAAGAACCAAAACAAGAGTATCAACGGTCAGTTGTGAGATGCTTGCCTAACAGAACAGTATCTGATCTTTGTCACTTTAACATGCATGGTTCAGTTTCTGGATCTTAGCAATAATATATGTGTATTATGTCCTTTCAGAATCCAAACTCCTGTCCATAAACAATCTGAATGAATCAGATCTTTGCACCAAAAGTAAGATATAGGTTTATAATTTTCTACACATTTCTGTGTACATTAGAGATGTTAAGATTCACCGATTCGCATCGGTGCACCGGCATAAACGTTCAAGATGCGAGTGCACCGGTTGAAAGAGTGCACATCGGCTACAGTTTGGGTTGAACCGGGTTGAACTCGCGATGCATCGATTGCGTAGCGTCTTTGCATCGGTAAAAAACCGATTCATTCATATAAAATCCCCTAATCTTGTCAACGCTCAGCAGAGACGATCTTTGATATTTGCTTCGCCACTACGGAGGCCGAGAGTCTCAGTTATCAACACACACGGAAGTCGAGGAGAAAGAGAAACACAGCGCACCGAAAAATACCTACAAATCAAACGTTTGGTAACACTTCGGATTGTTCAAGAAAGACGGTGTAATAGTCCTTTATGCTAGGCTATATAGTTGACCGCAGGTCATGGAGAGTAATAAGGTATCCGTAGACTTTTGTATGAGGTATCTTTATTACTTAACAGGTCTACAGCCATGATACATAGATCCGTCCTAGATGCAGGCTTGCATACACACAGTATCACTCCGCAGCCGCACCCCATCAGTAACGTCCTGATGGTATATGTGCGCGGCACAGACGGTCAACTTGAAAAATCGCTCGCAAATTGTTAACGATGCCGAGCCGATTTAAAGTACACAAGTAGTACGAGGAACTTAGCGACGCACATAAAGAGGCGACATGGGGTCTGCGGCTGAAAAGAGAAACCTCAAAGTTAGACATATGAGTTAAATCACTCAGTGAGGTGTTCTGTCAGAGAGAGTGGTGTTTAGTTTACAGCAGCCTGTGACGGCCAATAATAATTTAAATGTATTCCTCACTGTAAGCAGTTATGAAATACCTGTTTGTGAAAGGTTATTTGTATTATTTATTGTTCATATAGAACCCACCGCTTTCTGCTCAGTGGTGAGTTAGCCTATGAATGAGTGTTAAGCACATCAGGCTGGCAGCTGTATGGGCATTGCTCTATGGTAGCTGTTATTTGCACATTGTTAATCATGAGCAATGCATCCTTACATTGTTTAACTGTGAGGTGTTATACAATTGTACTCTGGAGAGCTTTTAAAGGTAAAAAAATAAACGGCATGATGGGATGTGCAGTACCAAATATGTAAAGCACTTTTTTGTTAATGTATGATTTGCTGCATATAAGGAATAAAACAAAAATCCTCTGTCGTACCAAATTGAAGTATCATTATTTTTGCATCGTGTTGAATCGCATCGTATCGCACCGAATCGCATAATGTTGAATCAAATCGTATCGAAGTGTATCGCAACAGGGGTGAATCGTATCGTATCGCATCGCCTGGTGTTTCAAATGTATCGTTAATGTATCGTATCGTGGCAACGTATCGAGATGCGCATCGCATCGGCCTCAGTGATGGAGATGCACATCCCTAGTGTACATACATCTAAAGATGCCTCTTGACAAATTTACAGTGGTGCTTAAAACCGTTTGTGTTTATGTCCCTGTTTAGTGCAAATCGGAACAGTGGACAGTGTGTCTCTGAACAGCATCGTGTTTCGGGATGTGCTGGAAATCCATGGAAGAAATGCCACTATGACACATTTGGCCTTGCCTCACATCCTGAAGACACCTGACTGCTGCAGCTTCCCTAAACTGACCCCAGGAAAGATCTACTTCTTTGATGGAAAGAATGTCTTCGCTGATTTCATCCACGATTCTGTTCTCCAGTCACTCTATTTCATTTTTTCCAAGTGTTATGGTCCTTAGGTCACCACCTTTACATGTTGCCACCACCAGTTTATCTGTTGCTGTATTCATGGTCAGGGTTGGTAAATGTATCTGAAAAATCTTCAGTCTTTTATTGCTTATCAGCTATTTAAAAAGTAGTTACAATATTTTTCTATTATCATCATCTTAAGGGACACTGTAATTAACACGCAGCCAACTACGGTTTTTAGGCCGACAGGCTTTTCTCATGCACTTTTTATACGTACCTAAAAACGCAATGCACTATAAATAGTATGTGACACACCTGATTGTGAGCCAGGAAAGGTGACGTAGTATAAAAAGCAACAAAGCTCTTATTGGGAGGAGGTTGAGGTTGATGTGTGGGTTCATCAAACTCAACCTCTGTCCCGTGTGAAACTAAAAGTCAATGTTGAATTCTTTGTTCCGTATCTTTTGCACTAAATAACCCCACTTCCAAGTATTCTAACCCAAAACACTATCCTTTCTAAACCTTACCAAGTAGCTTTGCTACCTAAACAGGTTCTGCAGTGCAGGGGGTTGCACAGGCACACTGTTGTATTACTATTGTATTCCCAGAATATGGCACAACAAATTACAAAATGAATGTCTCTGTGTGCAAAGTATCAATAAGCCAGCGATTCTAATCTAAAACACTTTCATAACACTTAGTGAATATCTTCTCATAAGCTATCTGTCCGTTCTGTGTTTGCGTTACAATAAAAATGTGGTGTTCAGAAACAGGATTACCTGAGAACTTGCCATCTAACCTCGGGTCAATGCCATACATCCTGCGTCACACAGTGATGTGTGTCTGGTGCGCATACTCCTTTGCTTGCATCAGGTAATTGTACATTTTAATAATAAGCTAGTAAAAAGTTGTTTGTTAACCTAATCGTTGCCTTAACCCCGGGCTTAAACCTACAGGAAGTCAACACACCCTTGTGACTGACAGACATCAAGCCATCCCTCCAAAATGTCCAAGTATCAGGGCATTATTATCAACAACCTTTTGCAGAGTTTTACTTGAAACTGATTTGATCTGAACTCTGTATTGACTTTGTCTTGACTGCCTTTGGACTGGTCTTGGAAACAGTTCAATACAGAATAAGCTAATGTGCTCTGGCTTTCAGTATATTATGCTAATCATTGTTTGTTAATTGTTATACTTTATTATTTGTATTCTTTCACTAAATTCCTAGATGAAAACTGTTTGCACACATGCCATTCACTCACGTTGAAATGTAAATTACAGGATTTATCATGTCATTATTATTTAATAAAGCTATGACTTAATTTAAAAGAAACATCAGGGTTACTAATGTGCCATAAGGAAGCAAAACCTAATCGCCCAAAGAATAAGCTGTGCATTGACATCATGTGTCTTTATTACAAACTATTAGGCTGCACCTTTTCTGTAGAGTACTGTTCATCTCTGTATTGTATGAACTTAAACTAAAATATATTTTCCAAATCTATACTTGAATTTCTTTCTAGTTGAAGTAAGTGTTATAAACCTGGTATTACATATCTATTGCATGTTTATTTGAATATACGACAGGACATCCTTTTGTCCTTTGTGTTTTATACATTTTCTCGCAATAAAATACAATCATAATACAACTTGTTATGACTTGCCTTATTTTGAGCATGAGCTTGGGGGCTTAAAGTAAAGACCATGACATGGTCTGTTGTTTTGTGTGTGCCTTTGAAGCTAAAACTATTAAGTTTTCCATCCAAATTTAGCACACATCTTCACAGAACATTTGCAAACAATAAAACATCATGCAAACAGCTGTCCCACTACCCAAAGTAAGACCTTAGTGGGATTTATTTTTGCTCAATGCAAGCAAACGTATGTTAATAAATAATTATTACAGTGTAAGACTCTGGGGCATGGCCTTTGCAACAGTATTTTATTTGTATGTATTTTACATATACAGTATATGGTGCCTCACAACTATTCTGTTGGTGTTTCAGTGTAAGATCACCATTTACAGTAATACTGAAATAATAGTTGTCTTGTTATAAATAACCATTGACTAATTGGCGTGACATTTAAAGTATACTTGCTTTATATTGTGTTATTCCAGTAAGTCTCAGAGGAAGAAAAAGGGGTGTTCCTCTACATTGGGAAAATACCAAACATACCAGACATAATGGCAGCCGTTGAGATAAAATCAAAATACTTAACATGCCATTACGTATTAGCTCATTTAATTAACCACAACTACTCATTTTATGTTTGTCTTACACTTAAACTTGAAAACTTGCCTAAAACAATGGAGAAAACTGCTCAGTTGAATATTTCTCCAATAGAAACACACTTATTGTTAAGTTTTGTGATTGAGATTCACACTTTCAAACTCAAACAAGATGCTTGAAATCTGATCAATTGGAAATATGTAGTGTTTGTAGAAGTTCTCTTCTCAGAAAGAAAAAGAAGAGTCATAACTTGACACTAACAATGAGCGTGGACCAGATTGCATAAGGACCAGTATATCTGATACAGACTCAGGCAGTAAACACATACTGTATATTGTCTGTTTTATGCTAGGTAGAGCAGGAGTGCATATGTTTGTGGCTCATAAAAAGAAGAGTCAAGATGGATTATTGAGCTGGTGATAAGCAGAAGCCATACATATACAAAGATCATTAAAGCCAGAGTTAATACCACCTGTAGACCCAGATGCTGCCGTACTGACAGACTCTCAGTTGAGGAAACTGTTGCTGTGTAAGTAATGTGTTAAGTTGCTTTGAATATGCTAGGAGTGCATGGATGACGTATAGAAAGGCAGAGACAAGAACTGGACTTACAATGTGCTCTCCTGTTTCACCATTGATTGATTGAATTGATTGATTGAAAAGTTTATTAACAGCTTGTATATTGGGTACAGTACAGTACAGCTCAAAACATACAATTGTTAAGGGGATGCAGACCAGAGAAAGACTTTCGTCTTGTTTACATCAGGGTCCCCCATTTCCAATTCATCATATCATTTAAGACATATAAGACATATTTGACATACAGATGGCTTATTTACAATTTACATACAGGTGGTTTCTTACATACAGATTGCTTATTTACCATTTTCATTTTAGATTTTGTTCTAATACATCCTAACCGGACATTTAAGACATACCAAGTCTACAGATATACAGTTCAAAAGAGACGTGATGTAAGAATGACATATGTATTGTTACACGTCATATTAATGAAATGATTGCCATGATAATACAACAGGAGAATGTAATGGTGTTTGGCGATTAGGCCCCGGTTTGCAGGATAATCATTCAGGAGGGAAAGAACCGCTCCGATGAAATCCCCGGGGTCTAGACACTGGTGGTGGTGATGAGTAGGTGAGACCGGTCTGAAGGAGGAAGGTTTAGCTTTGTCCTGAAGGAGACAGGAGGCGAGAGGGGTGGAGGCGGGTTGCGTGTGATCATCTGCAATGACAACTGACAGGGAGGAAGAGCAGGCATTTAAGGAGTTTAGCATGTGCAGCGATTGGCTGCTGAGGGGTGACGCCCTCGTATTTAATGAGGGGGGAAGGGAGCCATAGAGTGACGTGTAAGTGACTCGTGTTAGGTCTTCCTTATTGAACTTGCGCTAAAGCTTTCATTTAGTAACAGAGTCTAAAATGCGAGTATATACATAGATGGGGGGGGGGGAAGCTGTCCATTGTACGACAGGTTGAGATTTGTACAGTGCTTGAATTGGAATGAAAAAGGTGCCAGTACTCTAAAATCAGCAACTTTTTCAAGTCAATTTTATATATACAGCCCACAAACAAGAATTTGGCTACTATAATGCTGGTGGGTTTGTCTCTTTACTACTGTATATTTTAGAAAGGTTCACTGTACTTAACATTTTTTATGATAGGCAGCGGATATGGCTAAAGCTCAGTAAGGTCAATATTAACTGAAAATATAGCAATCAAAGTCTAGATCTTCTGCTGAAGACACATGAAGCAGAGACCTTTCAGGTGAGAGCCCCTCTGGTGGTGTTCAACATTAATGACAAGGAAACAAAGCTCTGGTCAGAAGCATTTTTTATAAAAAGCTTTAACAAAATTAAGTATTTCTGTACATTTTGAATGCAATCTAACTTTCCAACTCAGAAAACGAAAAAGTGCCAAAAGTCTTCTCACATGGCTGAGCTGCTTTGCAATATACTTCACCACTGAAGAATACAAATATGTATAAAGTAAACTATGATGCAATCTAACTTTCCAACTCAGAAAAATGATAAAGAGCATGAACAAAGAACATGTAAAAACAAATGCAAAATTTGCACAATCTAAAATGAGAAACTGTAACTGCAAGTAACAAAGTCTGAGCCATGGTAAAGAGTTACATTGAACACCAAGCTGATCAGATAACTCCCTGGTTGGTCTGAAGTCCTTCTATCTCCAGGATCTGTACAAATCGGCACATTATGCCAAAAGTCTTCTCACTGGGTGAGCTGCTTTGCAATATACTTCACATTGTTAGAAAAGGCTCCAGAAGGCCTTGGGGACATCAGTATCAGGGGCTGGAGCTGGACAGGCTCTTTCATCAGCACTTCTCCTTCCCTTTGCCAGCCAGGACCTCACATACTGTTCCGGATTGAACTGTCCTAGTGATGGTCCATTACATTTAATGAAAACCAGGCTGGACAGTCGGCTGACAGAGAGAGCATTCCTTTTTGCAGTAAGGATATCGTTCATGCAGCTGAATGCCCGCTCACACTCACTAGTGGAGACAGCGATGGTTCGGACTGCTTTCAGTAGAGGCTCCATGGCAGCAGGTGTACGGGATGCCCTGGTTTCCTTGTATTCGCGAAAGCCCTGAACAGTCTCTCTTCTGTCCACTTTCAGCACTTCGCACAAACGTAGCACCTCTACGTCCCCATACTGTACGTCTAACTCCTCTTCAGGCCAACTTCCAGGATGGATAACTTTCATGTCCTGGATTAGCTGATTGTCCCGGGCCTCCCGGCCATGTAATGGGATTTCTCTTGTGCTGACATGAGAGGAGGTTGTGGAAGTCATTCTGTGTCTCAGATTCTCTACCATACTGCGGAAAAACTGACCTGCATGAATTTGTACAAGCCTGCCATTCTCACGCAGGGCAACACCCTTGAAGGACTTCTCAGCTAGAGCTGTATGAACTGTAGTCATGTGTGGGCCAGGCATGGTGACCATGGATTCAAAAACTCTTATTTCTCGAGTTAAGAGCCTAACTGCTGTAGGCAGTGTCATCTCTCTTTTTTGGAGTTGCCGAGAGAGGTCGCTGAGCTCTGTGAGCGCATCGTACATCAGTCCCAGATTGCTGACAAACGTTGCAGATGTGAGCACATCATCCAGGCCCTTGTACTTTGCTCTGTCTCTGGAATCCCTGCTCGTGTCGTTTGCAGCATTTGTGAAGTGATCATGAAGCACTCGGTAGTTTTCCCAGACTGCTCTGACGCTCCTTTCACTTGAAGCCACCCAGCGGATGGACAAAACACGCCCTATCACCAGGAGACGCTGTCCGACTGCTTGCGCACACTGCGCTAACTGCCTCTGATTTTTGGGGGAGGCATGGAACAAGGAATAGAGTTTGTCAAAAAAGATCTGGAAATGATTGAGCCCTGAGACCTCCTTGACCACATCCCCAACTGCCAGCTCTAGACGATGATTGGAGCAGTGCCACACAAACAGGCTTGGGAATTTACTACACAACTGGGTAGCAACGCCTGTTCTCTTCCCTAGCATGACTGAAGCCCCATCACATGCAAAAGAAACGAAACACTGACCTAAAAAGTCCTCGTTAAAATCTCTTCCAAGACACTCCATTAACGCCTTTGTGATGTCATCAGCCGTTGTTCCATCCAACTCGATCAGCTCCCAAAAAAACGTTTCGGGCTCAGCATCAGCTAATGCTGAGCGTAGACACACAACA